CCAGTCCCCCCTGGCAAATCACACTTTACTTAAAACCATGTTTTTAAAAACTCTAGGTTGTAGGGAACAGACCTCTCTGCCATGCGCGCGCATGGTTTGGAGCACAATATCTGTCTCGCATGCACGCTCGCTCTAGATAGATTACGGGATATTTTAACTAATTTGCGGTATAACTAGTCGGTCACGAGTGGCTCAACAGGTAGATCTATAGATAAACTATATCTTTTAGGAATTTGACCGACCGGGTTGACACTACAGCGTGAGAAATCGGGGGTGTGGCGTGAGAGCGTGAGATTTGGGTCAATTGCGTGATGCCTGGCTCACACTACAGGAGTTTTAAAATCCTAACCGATTGTGAAATCTGGTTGCAGCTCACACTTAAGGAGAATCTTTGCAGATTTTCTTCCCTCAAATCTTAAACATGCTCACACTACAAGATTTGAAAATCGCGGCGCATCACACACTACACAATGTTATTAAGATTATCGTGCCAGAGGACGTGATCTCACGCAGCAGATCGGAAGCAGAAAAGTGGATGTAAACAAAATATCTGTCCTTCATATCAAGTCATATTCGTGAAAAGGTTGCCGTGACCAAGGAAAGAGAATTAAAAATAAAATAAAAAATCATCCTTTATCTAGGCTATTTCTAATTAATGGCGTCAGCTCTGGTCAATACAATGAATCAATGCCATTGATCTCTATGAAGTGAAGCATCAGCTTCGCGTTGCCCATGCGCCGCATTGCTGCTCAGCTGAGCCTTGTAAAGTGGAGCTCAAAGTTAAAATTAAATATTAATTAACAGCTTGTTTCATTACATCTATATTTGAATGAATCCGCATTTTTTTTTACATTTCCGTTGAATGAACAGTTTAATGACTCACTCAAAGACAGTCCTTTGTCGCCACCTAGTGGCGTAACAATGTAACTGGACTGAGCGAGTGCCGAGTAAATGGTAAAATATAAGCAGAAGCCTTTAGTAAAGAAAGATTCAAGGATCAAAACTAACTGTTATATAACAATGGCCTAAAAAGCTTATTGTCAGGTTTATGTTCTGTTATTATTTTATGTGGCCCCTTATTTGACATTATCTTCTGTTTACTATACTTCGTTTCAATGGGCTTTTTAGTTTCGGTTTCATTACTGAACATGTACTCGTCTTCGTTCCTGCTGACCACAGCATAACACTTATTTATTTAGCAATAAATAAATAAATGAAGATAATACCGCATATCGCGCTGTTGAGTCACTCAAAATTACAACAATGGAAATTCCTTCACCACGACAGCCCTACTTGTTTCTTATTGGCTATTGAGACAGTAGGCTACTGACGTACTGGTAATCACAATCTTGCTCATCCCGATAAATATCAAACATGTTTGATATGATCGGGGCGAGCCCGATTTGTGTGAGAGCAGATCGGGGGGTGCAAGATTCGATCTGTGAACGCCTCACATTACCAGATAATCTGTGCCGAACATCGGAACCGATCAAGGTCCTCGACAAGATTTTTTCTCCGATTCTCGGGAGGGGTAAATCGGGCATAAATCGGCCTAAAACTCCTGTAGTGTGAGCGAGGCTTGAGTCTCACGCTCAGTGCGTGAGAGTTGGCAGCCCTGAAAAAAAAAAATATATAGTATATAGGCTATATATAATTTATTTATTACAGAACTGCTTTTGAAATTACGATTGGTAGCCTACTATTATACAGATGCAAAGTCGTTCTGTTGGGTACTATTTTGTGTGTAAAATGGAAATGCATGATAATTGTATTTTATTTATATAAGCAAAAAAAACTGTATGGTGTAACAGAGTTTTAGAGCTAGACAAATCTAAATAAATATAAAACTTACAACAGACCAGGCTTGTGCGGGATTTGAACCCGTGTCATCTTGATGATTAACCGTAAGTTCCACCGCTCGGCTATGAATTTTCTCACTGAGACATACCCGAACGTTTGTTTCTCACATGAGCGAGAAAACGTTTTGTCTTTAGTCTGTGAGTGTAGGCCTATACTTTAGCCTTTTACAGTTTTAAAATATTATATCTTATCTGTATGACCAACAATTATGGAGTAGGCTATAAATGTTTGTTGTAGGCTTATTTGGAAATTACCATAACTTGTAGTAGTTCATCCTTAGGCTACAGACATTAGCCCCACTTACGTTTTGCTAAATGTCCCTTTGCGCCACCTGGCGGTCATTTCGCGAACGACTTTGAAATGCGACTGGTTTATTTTTACCGTGGTGGATGGCTAAAAATGATATGTGGATGGCTAAAAGGTGACTAAAAATGTGCTTTTGGCTTTCATTTATATTTTGATTGTTTGTATATATATATATATATATATATATATGTGTGTGTGTGTGTGTGTGTATAAATATTTATTTATTTATATATATATATTGTCCTTGCATTCTTTCTTGTGTGACACCCCTGAATGAAAGGCTCATTAGTATGCAGTCTGCTCAGGTGAGAACTGTGTAGCAACATTGAGAATGGACCAAACACAATTGAAGCTTTCAGACATAACCAAACACAAGATGCTGCATATTCCAGATTATCCCCAGGCACTGGAGCCAAGAGACCCTTTTGTTGTTTAACTAAAGGAAGGACGTTGTCAATGTTTTATAATTTGGCAAGAACAGATCTGTTCAGAAATGGTGAAACAAGAGGCCCTAACAAGAAGCCAACTGACCCCTGCGCCTAAACAGACTAGCCTTTCATTAAGAACCAAGGTCTCATGATATGCTGAACAAGAACAGATTTCAGCAGGAACTATCATTACCTCAGACTGGAATGTCTTTCTTAAACCCCAGAAACTTTACACACACACATAAGGACTTTCCTCCATATCAAATACCAATAAAACTCATCCCAGAACAATTCTTGACTGACCCAGAATCAAAATCGTGTAACATAACAATTATATATTGTGTTTACAACCCCTGTATGTGTCTATTCTGCTTAGATCACATCCAAGTCATGTAATTGTTTTAAATATTAGAGATACTGGAATGAAAGTGTCGTGTTTCCTATCATTATGCTCGTATGTGTTTAATTCAAAAGATGGCTTGATTGAAATCTGTGTAAAAATGTTTATGTTCTTAAAATGGAAATTATGTCTAAACTGAATCCTCTGTTTCGAGCTGATGAGTAAAGCAGACCACAGAGAACACATGATTCGCGATGAGAGAAGGGGGGGATAGAATAGACCCCCTCTCAAATAACCATATAGTATCTTATTGTCCGAATTCCAAATTCCTCCAGGAGGCGGGACAAACATTTTGAGTTTAAAATCTTAGACCCGAACACAGAATCGCTCTCTGGTGACTCTCTCTTGTGATCCTCTCTCTTGTGATCCTCTCTTGTGATGCGCTCTTGCTCTCTGGTGATGCTCCTGTGATCCGCTCTTGCCCTGCTCTCTTGCCCTCTGCTCTCTTGTGATGCTCTCTTTCGGCAGAACAAGCCGGGTGGAGCCGACGATGGTTATAGTAACCATGTAGACGCAGAGACAAATGACCCAAATCAAGATATGGGTTAAAACAGATTTAATTCAAGCCACATCGTCACACTTTCCTTTCTTTTCTTAGTTTGTTTCTTTTCCGTTAAAAGTCTCGGTTCTAAGTTAAGTGTTGCTGCAAAGTTTCGTTTTAACGTTTCAACTGCAAAACCAGCTTTCAACTTCAAAGACTTTCATTCATCCGCGCCAACACACGTGACTGGCTGTCCAAAGTCTATCCAGGCACACGAGAAGATCAGCCAAGCAACGGACCGGGGAACCCCCTTCACGAAAAAAAGGGAACCCCAAAGCAAGGACAAGCAAGTACCTCCAGACTTTTAGCTCAACTTGCAGGTGCATTTTAATATCAAATTGAATTACCCGCCTAAGAAACGATAAAAGGGTGAAATTAATTATTGATGGTTCGTTCAGGTCATGTCTTTTAAGTGCATATAGAAACTTGGGATCTCACCATCTAACTCCTAAAACTCATTCTTCCTCACTCTCTGTCTTTCTTCAACTTGTATGAATGCGTGTGCGTGTGTTTGTGTTAGATATTTGTTTTGTGTGTTAGTCATAGGCTTATAATCAATAAAGTATTGTTTGTATTTGAAAAGAGGTCTTTCTTGGCCAAGAAGATATTATATTTCCTAGAATTAATAATTGTTTATGCTTTCCGTTCATTGGATGAACTGATAAACTGATCATATTATTGATTTTGCTACAGTAAATTCTGAAAATAATTCAATTATTAATTATTGATCATAATCTGTTATGAATAATAATTAATTATATTTATACGTGCGTATAATCGCTACAACTGCCTAATTATTCATGAGGGGGTTGGGTCGTTCACGCCCATCCGCATATTGCCTTTGCAAACAAAAAATGTTTTTCACAATTTAAAACAATCTATTGTTTTATGTGAATGATTAGGCAGAATGATTTTCAGATCAATTTGAAGCAAAAACTCTAGGCAACAACATCCACTTGTCAAAAGTCTTGTGGACAGATATTTAGTATGTTATTTGTGACCTTATATTTGAAACTTTAGTTTTTAGTTTTTTCAATAACCACGCATAAACAATATTCTCTCAAAAATACAAACATGTACATACATGTTGCTCACATATTATGGTAGCCCTGTGTGTGCTATATAGAGTGTAATTTCACCTGTGCCATTAATATGTTTAGAAGCAACTGAAAAAAGCAGAAATGTCAGAGCATGCCAAAACATCTCAAGGACCCCGAAAACACCTCAGACCCCAGAGGGTTAAATCAAGGTGTGTTTTTATAGATTTTTTATTTTGAGAGGAAACTGTACATTTTAGTTTTCACACAGCTTGTTGGGTGCAAAATAAAACAGTGTTAAGTAAAAAAAAAAAAAAAAAAATCGCCACTGAGGACATCCTTCAAAAATATCATTCATTTCTGTAGAGCTGGAGTTTTAATAAGGATCAAATGAAATGCCTGAGTTCAGCTTTGAGAATGAAACCAACCTGTTTGTTCCTCAGTTTCTTCATGTTTCAAACTGTATATTTCTTCAATCTTCATGTCTTCACTCTCCTCTTTAATAAACGCCATCTTTATAATAGTGTCACGTGGGTCTCAGACGCTTCACCAGGAGTTTTTCTGTGTGTTTGTCCTGTTTAAGAAGAGAACAGAAAGACATCCAAACTACTTATCCATCTAAACAGTCTGTTGCGGTCTTATATTTGACCCAAACCATACAGTTATAAAAGTGCACAGAACGGACTCGATAACAGCTTAATAAAATGGTGGCATCACTTTCACATCAAATATACTTTAAAACAAACAGCAAAACACTTGCTGAGAACGCTAACATATATAAATCATAATTGTTTAAGCATATTTTTATTTTCAGAATTTCTTCATCTTGAAGCTGTATTCTTAAAAACGGAATATTTGCAATCTAAGAATTCAGAACAAAAAAATCCGCCGTTTGAAAATCCACGTCTATAAAATTCTGCCATAAAAACATGTAAATTGTGTTACATTTCAAATGTCCAATATGTAAAATGCCATTTCAATTTTGTTCAATAACACTTGTCTATAATTCAAATTTACACAATTCAAATAGTATTGTTATATTATATGACCTGATTAGACTAAAAACACTCAAAACTAACACTAAGAACTAATTAAAGAACTCAAACTATACAGACACTTCATATTTAGGCATTTATGTTTTACATTTCCAAGAAAACATTTGCTATTGATGTGTAAAACCTATCATTTCATAATACTCTGTTTCTCCATCACTACTCGCCAGTGGCTGAATGTGCGTTTATGATCAACTTATTCACGAGATAGGGAGCCACATGATGAGACTTGTCTTTTCATGAGCCAATTCGCTTTATTCATAAAACTAACGTTTATTTATGTTAATGAAGTATTACAATGTTTTATTTAACAATAAGTAAGCAACTTTACATTGTTTGTAAAAACTATAAAATTGCCTGACCTGGTTGCATTGATGTAAACGCTTAAAATGCATTAAACCACAAACCTTTTTTCAGCTGAATCCCAACAGATGCAGGAGCTCGACGCAGCCTTATGACGTCACACCGGCAGACCAAAATAAAAGTCCTGTACACACGCTGCTGCTGTCTAAAATCACAAAAGCGCACAGAAAATTTTAAAATGAAGCTAGAAGAGTTTAGATTTGGTTTCTTGGTGAAATACATATTGTCCAATGATGTATTGAAATTGTGAAGAACTACTAATGAAAGAGTTTGAGATTCTTTCTAAAAGGCAAAACTTGAAAGTCTGGGAGCAGAAACCATTTAAACCAGCATTAAAATGCAAACAGTGACAAATGTGATTTACAAGTACACAATATATAATCTCAATATTAAAAGGGTCATGTGACGCATATTGTAACAATAGATATTCATGCTTACACCGGTATTGTGCCTGTTTTATACTATTCACTTTCACACAGTTGCTAAAATATGTAACTTGCACACTCTTCATATCACAGTCCTACAAGGAAGACAGAAAATTCCCTTGCATTTGCTGTCCTCCAGTAAACATGAGAGCAGTCGCGTTTTAGACCAAACATATAATAGTGAGTGCGAATGCGACCTGGGCGCATCAGTTCATGCTGAGATAACTTTATTATGCCTGTTTTGTCTGTATCATCTCAGTGAGCTTTTTTGAGGTTTTAAGCACACGCAGTAAGGTTAGTTTTTTTCTGACATTACAGTGTGGATGAGAAACTTTTGAAAAACACTTGAAAACGCTAATGTGACGGAGAGGGTTTCTATCTGGATTAATGTAGACGTAGCGTCAGTTTCTGCAGAGTTCAGCTCCAACCCAAATTAAACACACCTGAAATAAAAAAATAAAAAGGAAATATGAAATGAAATGATAAAAATAAATCAAGAAATGTTCAGTGTTTGGGTGATCTGGACGAGAACAGAGAATGGATAAAACTTTGATGAAGATGAAGCCGACGATGTTTGGTAATGGCTGAAATTATAATGTCCATGCACAAGTCAGCACTATCAGAAAGCAAAGTTCAATTAGTGGTAATCAAATATTGACAAACAAGTCACTCTTGATGCAGAAAAGAAAAGAAGTCCTCCTGTCTTCCACATGTAAAATCCACCACCTCTTTGTGCTTTAACGAGCCGAAGAGCGCACACGTCACTCCTCTCCTCACAAAATTGCACTGGTTACCAGTTTCTGCTCACAACAAATTCAAGTCACTGATGTTTGCCAGAACAACTGTCACTGGCCTTTAACAACTGCAGGTCAATGGTAATCCCCCAGACTCACAAAACACATGAGGCTCAAAAAACAGTCTTTTATTGCATAGTTACTAAAATTTACATAGAGGACTCCCAGCGGCCCAACTATAAACATGCAGTCCCGTCACAAGCACCCCCAACTGGCAAGTAGAACTAGATTAATAAATGCAGGTAAATAAGTTATCTAGGTGAATAAGTTATAAATGTACACACGTACCCACGGCAAGTCACACAATGACACATTCAAATCCCGAGAGGGCACAGCAATTCATAATTAAACCCACACAATGATCAGATTACGCTACACATTATATTCAGTTCAGCTCACCCAACGTTTCCTGTCCACTCTGTGTTTACAGCTGGGCCGACGGGTCACGCAGACAACACGGACACAACACATAAAGAAATAAGTCCGCTGGTCGGCTTCCCGCAAGCCGACCAGAGTTTAAAACGAATACTGCAAAGGATGCACTTCGATGTAGCCGGTAACCGCACCGTCGGCGCTAAGCAATCCACCACAAGTCCAGATCAGAGCGGGTCCTTCCCTGGAATGTGCTTCGGTGGTTCAGCAGACACCGCTGTCAACGTTTATCAACACTTCCAGCATTCTTCCCAATCGCATTGTTGCCGGCTGATGTAATCGTGAGCTGCAACAAACACTCATGAGCCACCCGCCACTTCGTCTTCCCACTCACTCACGCATAGCAAGTAAGGCTACAGAAGTATAACTTCCCTCAACAGGGTACTTAGCTTGCGGTGATGGTGGGCTCTCTGCCGTTGGGCCACTTGCTGTCGCATCTCCCTGTCTTCCCCTCTGTCAACTCGTACGCTTATATAAAGCCCCAGGCTAGGTGAAAACAAGTGGTTAATCAACCAATGTAAGCGAACTCCTCCCTCTTCACAGATGCACATAATCATGCCGCGTTCCAGGCAACCTGTAACCCGTGTTTTCCAACCTTATACCCGTGAAAGTGCACTGGAACGGCAGTCAAACCCGTGACTTCCCACCCGTGAACTCGTACTAGATCGATGTACTCCCAGTTACGAGTTCTGACGTCAGATAGCCCGCAAAACCATACAAAACAACAATGGCAGCCCCTACGGATGCAGTGTTTCTGCAGGCGGTACACAGTGACAATACACTTTAGGACAATATAACGTTGCAGTCAAATTAATAATAATATAATGATAATAATACACACACGATTATGTATTACAATGTTATGTGTCTGAAAAAATAAGTATGTATATTGCGCTCAGGTAGTTTGGCGTGACTGGCCTGGAATGCTACAAAGTCGTGAGTCGTGGTTTGAAGTCGTGATTTACATGCTCAAAAACCTGCCTGGAACGCAGCATCATTGTCTATCACAACCCCAGTCCTCTACAGATGTCCATAGTCAATCCAAGAGACACAGCCACTCTAGGAGTCCATTAACCCCGTAAATGCACAGCAGATAACACAGCAAAAACTGTACATACATAACATGCATAACAATATCGGCTGCACATACACCATGCATACACGACACAACCACTGGCTCTGCCCCCTTTTACCTAAACTCATTACAAAAAAACTTGAATCACAAAGGGGTTAATATCTCCTTTTGCCAAGATTACAGCTCTGAGTTTTCAACTATTATGCCTGATGAGTTTGGAGATCAGAGATCATTCCTATTCATTTTCTATAGGGTTTGGGTCAGGGAACTTGGATGGTCATGGCAGAAGCTTCATTTTGTGCTTAGCGACACATTTTTATGTTGATGTTGATGTTTGGTTTGGATCGTTATCCTGGTGGAAGATCCAACCACGGCCCATTTTAAGATTTCTTGCAGAGGCGGTCAGGTGTTGATTTTTTTTATCCGTTGATCCGTTTGCTAGAATCCATGATACCATGTATCTGAACAAGATGTCCAGGACCTACAGAAAAAAATAGGCCCACAACATAAAAGATACAACGGTATATTTAACCATGGGCATTGGGTACTTTTTATCCCTGTGTGCACAAGACCCATTTGTCTTTGGATAAGCGAGGAGGATTTTTCTTGAAACCCTTCCAAACAACATGAGGTGATGTAGGTGCTGTTTTATTTATTTTAGTCTTTCTGAATTTCCCTTTCCCATTTTCTGATGGTGTAAATGGGAATTTTCAATGCTTAAGCTATTTTTTTACAGACACTTTCCATTTTGTGAAGCTCAAAAGTGAAAGGTTCGATTTTTGCGGATTCTTCTAATAAATATCAAAAGGATAAACAATGCAGATTTATTTTTACAGCCATCTTTGATCATATTTACCAGGGGTGCCAATAATTTGGACCACAACTGTATATACATCTGAATATACACCGATCAGTCGTAACATAATTACCTAATTTTGGTCCCCCTTTGGTGACCCCTGAAGGTGTGCTGTGGTATCTGGCACCAAGATGTTCGCAGCAGATCCTTTAAGTCCTGTAAGTTGCGAAGTGGGGCCTCCATGTGTTTTCTGTGATAAAAACGGGGTTTTCGTGTAAATGAGAGGCCAAACCGCAGGGAAATATCTGCGTTTTCCCTTCGTGTAAACGGGGTCTAAAACTAAAGAAGTGGAGCTGGTACTGAGTGTTTGGAGTTTGCTTCTGGCCACATCTTAAAGGGGTCATGAACTGGCTTTTTAAATTGTTTTATATTGTTGTCTGAGGTCAACTTATGACGTTCGCTTTGTTTTTACATTCAAAAACATCAAAATGAATAAGTAACAGGCTATTTTCTATCCTAGTTTTGAGCCTAGCTCAAAAACGCTCGGTTTTTATGGGCGTCTCGCATTGAAGACTT